CCATCTCATTTCCCTTTGGGGTTGCTGTAGGTGACCTGGAAGTCTGGTTTTCAGACTTATTTACGTGTTTTCTCATTTTGACTGGGGCGGGGGGCTGTTAGTGCCTGCACGGATTACCTCCTCTGAGCTGGCAGAGGTGGGACAGGGTCTGGGAGCAGCAATAGGGATGGTGGCCCAAAAGCCATTTCCTGTGGGCTGGGAGCAGCAGCAGGGATGGTGGCCAGGAAGCCCCTTCCTCTGGACCAGGAGCAGTGGGATGGCAGCTCCGAAGCCCCTACCTCTGGGCCAGGAGCAGTGGGAGGGATGGTGGCTCGGAAGCCCCTTCCTCTGGGCCAGGAGCAGCGGGACAGAAAATGGCCCAAAAGCCCTTTCCTCTGGGCTGGGAGCAGCGGGAGGGATGGTGACTGGGAAGCTTCTTCCTCTGGACCAGGAGCAGTGGGACGGTGGCTCAGAAGCCCCTACCTCTGGGCCGGGAGCAGCGGGACTCAGTATTATGGTCTGGTGGTCCAGTGTCCTCTGCATCTTTGTAGTGTGGAACCAGGTGGCTGCCTGTCTGCAGCAGGGTGATTCGGCATCTTCCGTGCGACTGGGGACCTCAGTAGGACGTACGCAGACCCGCCTGTCTGCAGCGGGGTGATTCAGCATCTTCCGTGGGACTCGGGACCTCGGTATGGCGTGGGCAGACCTGCCTGTCTGCAGTGGGCCCACTCTTCTTTTTCATTTCATAATGGTAAAGTCCATATGACGGTTTCAACTGTAAGGGGTCTATGATGTATTCAGATGTAAAATATATGACAATGGTATAAAGGATAGGGTGTAAATGAAATTATACTGTTCAAAGTTTTCATAGTTTACATGAAATGTTGAGATCCTGAATCTAATATACAAAAATAGATCTAATATACAGTAATATGTTAAGAATGAATATTACAATCCCTAGAGCAACCACTAAAAACCTTTCAAAGAAGTATAAAAGAAAAATTGCTAGACAAATCAGTTAGGATAGGCTGTTATATACTACAGAGGCAAGAAGGGAAGAAATTGGTCTAAAGCTAGCCCTTCTGTCTCTGGATGTGATCTTGCATATATCACTCAGCCCCTCTGAGTCCCATGGAGAAAACACTACAATTTATCTAGAGAGATGATGTCATGATGATAAAATCATATACTACATAAAAAGTTACTGGTATGTGGCAATTATTCAAGTATTTGTTGAATTAGTTAATTAACATGACAATACATATAGTCAGCTCAAAAGTCCCTGGCCCCCCAAAAATGTCTAATAAATATTTATGATTGAAAAAAAACAACTCCCAGCTATGGGTTGCAGTAACTTGTAAAAATCACCAGGTGGCATGACATAATAAAAATTATTACCACTTTAGAAAGCTCTTCAGAATATAATTATACAATAATTTGCATACTACATATATTCATGAATTCATATATTTCCTAGGTCAATGTACAAATTTCAAAATGGCTTTTCATGAATTCACTTTCTGGTAGCAATTCCATTTCAGTATTTCAGTGTCCCTGTTTTTTCATTATATCAAAGTTATTGTAATTTATCCTCAATTCTCTTAGGAAATATGTATTAACCCCAGTTTATAGATGAGAAAACTGAAGCTAGAAATAAAATGGAATTCAAACTAAGAGATGACAGAAATGAAATGTCTTTTTAAATAATTACATTATTACACTACTTGTTCTCCCCAAAAAGCACGAGTAAGGTGATATAGTTAAAGTAACCCTATGTCAAGCAAAACATAAGAAGCAATCCTCAAAATCATTATGCTTCTAAGTGTGGATGTGGGTGTAGAGTACAGAATTTAGCAGATATACTTGGAAAGAGATGTTAAATGAAAGCTTATTGGATAGTACAAAATGCTTATATATTATCCATACCCAAGAGGTTTACAATATGTTGTGCTTTAAAAAATGAAGTAATGGACAGCCATCACAATTTTTCCAATTACAAAATAAAAACAGCACATGAGAGAATAAGTCCATTAATCACAGCCATTCCCTCCAAACTCATCTTGGGATTGGTTTCTGAGCATCCATGTGCTTGTTTTCCCAGATCAAAGTAGTATTCATTTATTCTTTTTTTCATTCAACAAAAATGTGTTGAATGTTGTGTGAAGACTAATATAAACCAGATACAAATGATGTCATCAAACATTTTAATCTCAAAGGTAAAACTCATGTTGTAGTTTTTAAACTGGCTCACTTAGCCTCAAGACTATCCATCATTCCACAAGCACTATGGCTCGTTCTTCCTTCCTATTTAGATAATGCCATCACCGTCTGTAGCTCCTGAATGGCCAGCAATATCACCCTAAGGAAGAAGCATTTTGGATCACAGTCCTGGAACAAAGATGGAAAGGTAGGCAGATAGATAGTTACTGCTACTTCTTTTTTAAAGTGTATTTTACTAAACAACATAGACAATTTCTCTAATTTAAAAAACTTTGGTGCACGGAAATGTCAACTTTGAAAGCTAGCTAGAACAAGTATATACAAGTTGTTTCAGAGATCATTCTTGTGGAATACAAAGTGGAAAGAAATACTCAAAGAATATGAAAATGTTTTTCAGTATGGTCTCTAACTAATGCATCATTATCAGCTATAATTCAAATAAAAATATGAAGTCATAACCCTACTTTAGATGCCCTGTTTGTAATATTTTCTGGGATAGAGTCTGGATATTTATACTATATTTTTCAGTGTTGTTAAATGACTGTGGTATAAAGATTGAAAATTAAATATTGGAGATTTATTTCAGCCAAGAGCATCAGAGAGGACCATGTGAATAAAGTAGTATTGGATCAGGGCCTTGAACATAGGGAGATAACATTCCACATGGGCAAAAAAATAGCTTGAGCAAAGACAGAGCAGCATGAAGGAAAAAGTTCTTTTGGAATGAGGCAAAGGATACACAACAAACAGTAATGAGGAATAAAGTTGGAATGGGCCTTAGGCTTAGGTCTAAGGGCCATACATTTCATGTTAGGAAGTCTGGGCTTTGCTTTTTGAGTCAAGAAATGAGTCACAACAAGAGTCCTGATGAGAGGCAGTGACCTGGGTCAGGTGCAATGATGTCATACACAAAATTTGGTGCTACGCAGGACACCAATCAAGTGCAGCTCTGAGTTGCTCCCATTTGTTTAGCCAGAGTAATTTGGGATCCCCTAGTTTGAAGAAACTGCTTTGAATGTTATACCAGACTTCTAGGGGAAGGGACCCTGAACCTTGAGTTAAAGAAATAGAATTTTTGTTTCTTTCATCAGATATCCAATAAATCTCATTGTCATGGAAAAAAACCCTTCTATCCATGATCCCAATGATGCTCTTGAAGAATGTGTCCCATACTATCTAACCTCTCAACAGAAGTTTGAAGCAGTTCATTTTCTTAGGACATAAAGCTACAGGTAGGTTTGAGTGCAATGCCTGACCTCTTCTAATGCTAATTTTTAGGTCATCTAATACTACCTACAGCATGATAGGGTTGGCAAATGTATAACCAGAGAGATCAAAAGGCAGAAAGGATAGTTCAGACATAGTCCCAAGCATATGTAAGAGGAGCTACAGGTTGTATTTCAAATCAGTGAAAAAAATGAGTGGGCTTCACAATAAAATACATTTTGTCATGAAAATGTAAACACCTATCTCCTACCATATACCAGAGTTACAATTGATTAAAGTTTTTATTGTAAACAATAAAACTATAAATAGGTACCTATATTTTTTTCTGTATGCTATGTATGTTTACTTACATTTTCTGTATTTACTTGTATTTTGTCAGTTCTTGCTTACATAATATGGAGGGGGAAAAACGACTTTCAATAAGCAGAAATGAATGTGAGACATTTGGTTACCTGAAAACATAAAATCTTCACAGGGAAAAAAATCCCTCGAATCTATAGCTCTGGGCCTAAATTTCTATTCCCCTGCTGTCCATACTTCTGGCTTCTTAGTCCCATTTATATTGTTATTTTCCCAACATTTTCTAATCCATAACCAAGGAGGAGAAAATCTGTGAACTAGATTCAATACTCAGATGCAACTATGACCTCAAGTGTGTCAACCTTTCTGCAACTCGGTTTCTTTTCTTAGAAAAAGAAGGTTTTTTAAAAAAATGAGAATCACCTTGATGAATTATTTTCTGTTCTAAAATTCCAAGGTTCCTTTTTTAGAGCTGTGCCTTTTTAGAGCTGTTGCAGTTGCTCCCTTTCTTCTCCTGAGTTTAGGCCAATTAAGATATAAGACACATGAGAGAGAAACTTGTAACCAAATAGTTTATTTATTGATAATGTGGAGTGTGAAAATGTGGCTTGACCCCACCGCACATGAGCAGGCAAACATTTTACTCCCTAATGAATTAAAATCACCCACCCAGTCTGAGCTAAGCTATGCCACCAGTTTCTCCCCACTGCACAACAGAGGAGGACAATGAAGAGGAAGACTCAAATTAAGTCACCTGTGCTTGTTTCTTCCTCCCAATCTCACCAGCAGTAGAAGCAGTCCTTATACTGCATGTGGAATCATGAAGGAATGGAAAAGGACCATCTAACTCCAGTCACGTAATTCTCCATTCCTCTTGATAACTGCTCTAGTTCAGGGGTCTTTTTGTTTCATTCAGGAAAGTAAATCAATAAAATTATCTAAATAGGTCTTCACTTCTCTGGCCTACCCACTGTCTCATCCATACTGTGAGCTACTTCTAGAACATTAGAGTAGCCTCATGCAATCTGAATTTGGAGTCAGGAAACATGCATTTTAATGATGGTTCTTTCACTAAGCAGCTGTATGACCATGGGAAAATCTTTACTTTCCTTTGAAGAACCCTTATCTATAGTAGGCATGGTTAGATTATTCCATCCTCTTCCATAATATCAATTCAAGCTTTGAATATATTCAGTAAGTTTGTCTGTAGTATAAACCTGTTAACAGAGATGTTGCTCTTTACAAAGGGACTAGTGAAGTCTTTCAGTGTCCATTCCCATGCCTTCCTATTCTTTCTAGTAATGTAGATCTCTAACACACTTGGTATTTTCTTATTTCTGTGCTGTTGCGTTGTCTTGCAATAACTACTCCCAAAACTGCTTTCCACGGACTGCTCATTCTAGAAGATCCATCAAAAACAATACTCTCTGATGAATGTCATTATATTGTATACCTAAAATGTACCAATAAAATTAATTTTTAAAAAAACAAAACAACACTCTCCCAGGCCTTTTTGGGTTACTCTAGACAGAAGTGATAGTGCACTCAGATCGAGGTTAGGGGAACATTTGTCCTACATCCACTGGTACCAGAGACACACACTGCTCACTGAACAGCCGAGTTGCTCTCTCTCTTCTCCTTTCTCTAGGAGGATCCTTGTAACCAGTTCTAGACAATGGGCGAGTGTGTAAAAAGGACACATCCTACTCCCAGTCCAAATGACCCTCCAGTTGTTTCCTCTTCTGCTGTGGCAATTGGAAATCCATCTGTTTAGATGTCTGTTTCACAAGTTCTTGGGCTGTGAAAGACATAGAGGACACCTTGATTAAGCAAATGACATTTCTTGCCACAGTGTACCCAGCTGAGTCTGACTTAATACAGCTCCTAAGAGAAGGAACAGGATCACATGACCAACGGCTGCTTCCTTAGTTGTGTGCAGAGCAACCAACAGCACCATCATGGCCAGGCCCAGATCTATGAGCATAATTATTATGTATAACATAATATATTGTTACACATTTTATTTTATCTTAGATATTGCATTGTTATTGCATATTATATGTAATAAATAACAAATATTTCTTATACTTGTTTCTAGTTGCTTTTTAAACTAAAAATGAACTGATGATTTAAGAGGTAGTTGAATGCTCTAAATAGTTTCAATCTGTTAGGAATTTTATTCCTTCTCATTGTTTGTTGGATTTCATTACATTTTGGCCACTTCCTGAGGAGTTAAATGACTTTTAAAAAATGAATAAAATGGAGACATAAGAGTTTAGGCTTCCTACCTAACCACATTTATGTTTCACAAAGGATAAGATAAACTTAGGACAGTAAGCTTCAGAACCTTTGAAGTGACACTTTTTCCTAAAGAAGTAAGTACCCCTTTTCATTTTCATTTTATTATGAAAAGTTTTAAGAATATATAAAAATGTAGAGCAATATAACAAATCCCCAACTATCTATCATTTAGATTCAGTAGTTATCAAGATTTTGCTCACTTGCTTTATCTGATCTGGGGTTTTTATTATTATTGAAATATGTATCTCTTTGTTTCCTAATTAATTATAACAAGAACATTTTAAAGCCAAGGTATCATTTCACTCATACACACTGAAATATACATCTCTTTAAAATATGCATGTTTTCTTAGGTAACCACAATGCCATTATCACACAACAAAATTCTAAAATTAAAGTTAATAGGATATTGTTTTGTAATGTAACACAATACCCACTTGTGAAACACGGAGATGCCCTCAATTCAACAAGCAGGAGGTTACAACTGTTTGGTGTCCTGGATGATGCCCAGGTCAGAGGGGACATGGAGCAGCCAGCTCTCCAGCTGACCTTCCTCCAGACAGAAACGCCCGTGACCAGGGTGAAAGGTGACCCCAGCTCCTGTCCATCAAAGCCTCTTTGCTTCACAACAAGGCCCACATGCTTTTTTTGCCAAAGAGCCCCTCACGTGAGTGGAACTGGGGTGCAGGACAGTGTGAAGTGCACAAGGAAGGGCTTCTGAGACTCAAGAACTCTTGACATTGCCCATGCAATCCGGAAATTTCATAGTGACAAAATCAAGCTTCACTTTCTGTTGTAAGTGTATATTGCTTGTGTGTGTTGTTACATGTTTTGATTTGTGTGGATAAGGGAACTAGGAATTAGCACTGGATTATCGAAAAGTCTCTGTAACCAGACTGAAGCTGTGAGGGTCAAGGACTTTATTTGGTGCTGATAACAGTGCTCCTATCACACTACAAATTGTGAATATTTTATTCAAAATGCTTGTGCCCAAAATTGTTTTGGGTTTTAGATTTTTAAAAAAATTTTTTGGAATATTTGTGTGTACACAATTTGGAGATAGGGCCCAAATGCAACAGTCATTTATATTGCATATATAACCTTATACATGGACCTTGAAGTTAATTTTATACAATATTTTAAATAATTTTGTGCAAGAAACCAAAGTTTCGGGGTGTGGAATCTTCCATTTGTGGCATCATCTCAGTGATTAATGTTTCAGATTTTGGAGCATTTCAGATTTCAGGTTGTCAAATAAGGGTGATCAACCTGTATTTATAATCTTTGATCAATAAATTAAGCAAAAATAAGGTTGATAAGAACAAGCAGGAAATATGCTGTGTAGCTGTGAGGCAAATCTTTCATCACTAAGGTATAGTTTCCTCACCTAGAAAATGGGGATAGTAATGCTTTCTTCACACTTTCTTTAGTATTGTGAGAACTAAAGAAAATGTACAAAGGGGGCCCAGTAGGAATCTGTCGCACAAGGAAGGAGACTCACCTAAGGCTACAGTCCTAAGAGACCCAAGGAAAGGCCAGGGACATCTATGGAGAAACTGCAAGTGCAAAATAAAAAGTGAAAAACTGTGTGAAGGGAGAAGAAAGTGCACTTTGCCTTGATTATTAAAAAACAAATGGCTCATTTTTAAATTTGAGTGGATTAGAAATTGTTGAAGTTATTTGCTTGATCTGGACAAATCACAGAATGATTTTGTTTTCAAAAAGAAACTTATTCTTGGGGTAAGGTCTGGAGTAGGAGAAAAATGGAAAATAGAAAGAAATCTGTTTTTTGGCCATTTCTCTACAGGGGACTTGAAGAAGGAATACAAGAGAAGCCCCCAGGGAGCAGGGTGTACTGGAAGCTGGAATCTTTTCTGTCTCCTGAATCTTCAGCTGCCTGAACTAGGTACAGATATGTGCATGCAACTGACAGAGCCTCTTTGGGCTGTACCAAGATACCAGGTGACAATCTGGGAATTTTATTATGACAAAACCAAGCACAGTAATAGCATCATTAAGAACAATTAATAACTGAGAATGCTTATTTTGAGCCAGTTGAATACAACTGGCCAGCTTTTCCTATAAAAGCTTCTGACAAGTGGTATCTCCTGACAAGAAGTTGTATTTGAGAGGCCAATTGGGTGTCAATGCGGTTTTTCCCCTCTAAACTCAAAATGCCTCTTATACTTTATTCTTTCTACATAAAAGTTTCAATTGCCTTCTGATCCATAGGCTGAGGTTTGTTCTGTAATTTGGGAGATTAATACAATTTTTTTCTTATCATCTAAATATTATACCTCAAGTACTCTTTGTTAACACAGTGAACCTGACCACCTGTGTGATATTAAGCTTATGAAAGGCAAATGGGTTTTTTCTTCCATAGGCTTTTTTTTTTTTTCTGGAACTGGGTATTGAACTCAGGACCTTGTGCGCAGGTGCAGTGCCACTGAACCCAACCCCCGGCCCTTCCATAGGCTTTTTAAACATTTTATTTAAAAGTAATTTCAGACCTACACAAAGTTTCAAAAAAATTACGTATTCCCATATATCCTCAACCCAGATTCTTGAAGCATTAGCATTTTACACGTATGACCACAGTATAGTGATCAAAACCAGAAAATTAAGTTTATTAAATTTTGCTAATGTCCTACTATTATACATTTAATTATCTAGATTCTCATTCAAGATTGAATCACACATATTCTTAGTTATCATGTTGCATAACTTAAATTTTAGATCAGAGGTTGACAGAGTTTGTTCCAGAAAGGGCAAGATAGTAAATGTTTGTATTCTGTGGGCCATAAGGTCTGAGAACTATTCCACTGGGCCAGAAGTAGCCATGTAGGCTACAAACACCTGGTTGTGGCTGTGCTCCATCACGCTCTGCTGTCGTGCCCCCTTCCCCCTTGTCTGCTGTTTTGCTTTTTGTGGCTTCAGTTACCCATGGTCAACTGTGGTGTGAAAATAGTAAATGGAATAATGCATAAGTTTAAAATGGCGCGCCACTAGTGTGTCGAAATCTCATGCTGTCCAGCTCCATCCCACCAAGGATGTGAATCCTTGAGAAAAAGCAGTCTATATGGGGTTTGGTACTATTGCATCCCCTGAGATCTTGGAACATATTGCTTATGAATAAGGAGAGCTTCTGTATGTTGGAAAACAAGCTTTAAATCAAATGTAGCTGATGGGCCATAGCTTCCCCATTCCAGACCACTGGCTTCTGAAATGTTCCCTCTGCCCCTAGCATGCGTGTTATCTAGGAACTTGTTTAATATGCAAAGATTTGGGGCCTATCTCAAACTACTCAGAAATGGAGAGGAAGTGTATGTGTGAGCAATCTGTGTTTATGACTTGTGCTAATGTTCTAAAAACCCAATGTGGCCCATTGTGGAGTCTATGTCTTCTTAGACCTTGAGATTTTTGGAGTGTTCAGTCCTGTTGTTTAGCTTTGATGTTTTTAGTCACGATTAAATTCAGGTTATATGTTTTGGGGGCAAGAATACTACAAAAATGATGTTGTGTTCTCTTTGTGGGGCTCACCAGAAGACACATAGTACCAATTTGTCCCTTCAACATTGAGGCTAACTTGGTTAAAGTGGTGTCTCTCAGGTTTTCCCACTGTAAATTTACTATTTTTCCCTTTTCTACCAGTAAGTGTCTTGTGGGAAGACACTTTGAAGCCATGTAAATACTTCATGAGCTAATTTTAGTGCTAATTTTAGCACTGATGTTGACCACTCTTGATCCAAAACAATTATTAGTATGGTAATTTGTCAATTTTTGTATTTCCATCATCCTTTTTACACAAATTACTCAGAATTCTACATTAATAGCTTTTCCTAATCCCTCATTTACTTATTAATGCAATGATATTTACATCAGTATGGACCCATGGATTCATGGCTTATAATCTAGTACTATCATTAATTTTTGTTTTTCCAATTCTCCCAGATTTAGCCCAAAGGTATCTCCTTCTTTAAGTTAGCTCCTTATGTTTTCGGCATGTTCCCATCATATTTTCAGGCTTGGGAATTTAAATCTCGGTTGTCTACTTTTTGCATTTCACTTCCCTAGTGATTGTGGTTCCAGCAGTATGAACCACCCAGAGCTTTTTTAAAGAGAGAGAGAGAAACATTATTTGAGAAAAGATAGAAAGAATCAATACAAGGTCAACTCAGCTTTCCAAGTATGTCTGTGGAATACTAACTTCCCAGTGTTTTGAATTCTTAACTGTAACTGGATGCAAAAATTTGCAATTCAACTAATCTTCCATATGTGTGAGATGACACCAAGAAGTTATTGTTAATATTGTAATTCTATAATTCCACCCCATTTAGCCAATTTCCCATTATGGAAGAGTTTTCACATACCATACTAAAAAAAAAAATGGACTAAGATTTTTTTTTTTAACCAGTGATCAGACTCAGGACATTGTGCTTGCCAGGCAGGCACTGTACCGCTGAGCTAAATCCCTGCCCCTTATTTTAATGTTTGGAAG